GAAACGTATCCATCAACGGTGGAACTCGTCGTAGACCTTATTTTTTATCAGTAGAGGTACGATAAATAGCAAGAGGAATTAGGTCGACTCGAAGCTGCGAGAGCTGGTTCCGATCTCCCAGGAACAGTTCGGGTTCATGCCCGAAAGGTCTACAACGGATGCTTCATCGCAAGGCAAGTGATGGAGAAGTATCGAGAAAAGCGCCGACCTTGCTACCTAGCCTTCCTCGACCTGGAAAAGGCGTTCGACCGGCTACCGCGAGCAGTACTATGGAGGTCGCTTCAGGGAACGAAACGTGCCAGAACACCTCATCTCTCTGGTGAAGGACATGTACGAAGGGGCCAAGGCAGCTATACGCACCCCATACGGCCTAACGAAGGAGGTGGACATCACGGTCGGGGTGCACCAAGGGTCAGCTCTGAGCCCGTTCCTCTTCCTCCTAACACTAGAAATTCCTGTGAAAGAGCTCATGAAGGGCCACTGATCCATCCTCTACGTGACCGAGACCGGTGGATCGGTAACGAAATCGACCTGATAGCGGATAGTAGAGAAGAATTCCAGGTGATGAAATGTGCAGAAATGGCAGAAAGTCCTGACAGAAGGTGGGCTCCGGCTGAATGTCAAGAAGTTTCTGAGCTCGTAGGGGCACAGAGCCGAACGTGGACGGCCCTGGTGATACCATGGTGCTTCACATCAACTTTATTAGCACAGTTTTTCTTCTTCTTCTATCCCCTCTCCACTGCAACTCCGGCTCTTATAAATGGTCACATACAGGTTCAATCTGATATGCCTGATTTTGTCCATCATGAAGAGGACCTGCTGTAAAGATAAGATATAATGGCTATGTGCATCTGTAAGTATCATAACCTTTCTTTGTGGACCTGCTTGGAACTACTTGTGCAAATTTTTGACGTGTGGACGCATCCTCTCAATCAGCACAGATAGTTTCAAACATATATATATAATTCTTATATTATATATAGATACATATTCACTCTATCTTTGAAAATGCCTTATACTAGCACTGCTACGTAGTGCAGATCGAAAAACACTAATGAAAATTTAGTGTTTCAGCAATCAAGAGGCACAAAAAGCCAAAGACAGTCATGTTCGAGCCACCACAACCTTCTACCACCAGACAACTGGAAGCAGTCGCAGTTGGAAGTGTAAGAAGTGTTTCTGTTCTGTTTCTGTGTTTCTTTCTGAAAATTACCAAATTTGTCAGGTTTAGCTCTGCTCCCATCATTTCCACTTACCTCCTTTCCTTCGCTAATCTCAAGCCGATTTTTTTCCAATTTCCAAGACTCCAGGGACTGCATTGGTTTTAAGGAAACCGACCGGAGCGGATTGGACCGGAGCTTTTAATCGAATCTTTGCTTTTGGATCCAACATATCCTAAGAGGAAAGCTCCGCCCATCGTTGGTGGGCCCCCTTAAAGTACGAAATGGCAACAGTGCACACCTTGACCCAAAAAAATTTGCCGTCGGCACTGCCCATTTCGGCGCATTCCCCACCCAAGGTGGGTAGAACTCGCCAATGCTGACCCCGCCCCAATTTTATGCAGTCCTTTCGATTCTTTATGGTAAAGCAAATTTTGTGATGAACAGTAGAATAGACAAATAAACAGGCGAAACGCTTCTTAGCAAGTATGATATTCAACTGTTGCTTTCCATGTTTAGATTGAAATCAACGTCTACCTCAAGTATTTGAAAGCGTTTTCTTATAAATGGGCACTTATCTTCCTCAACTTATTGTTTTGCCGATATGTCATGCAGGTATGGTAAACTTTGAATCGTGTCATCGTAACGTAAGCAGCGACATATCTTGAAGGCAAATTTCAGGTCACGATTTCCTGCAAAACTCTGATTATGATCTAATTTTTGCTCTGTTGGTTCCGTTAGTGGCAGCGATTACGATTGGTTGTAAGGGTTTACAGGAGACGTGGGGGTGATCAGTGAGCAATGGCGGGAAAAGCATGGGAATCCGTTAAGAACGCGAAAAGGAAACCCCTTGCTCGATCGCTGATCTACGGCCAAGCCATGGGGTCCTTCTTTCAAGTACAGACAGCAGCTAAGATGACCGATTTATGGACGACTTCACCGCACCGTGTTCGGTGGCACCATGCTAATCATGCTCCCGTCGAGTTGCTTCAGTTGTGCCGCTGCTGGCAACACAGCTCGTCCAAATCTCTAACTAGTGGGCGGATCGCTTTCCGGGCGGAGTGCTTTCGAATTCCTGCTCAGCAACCAGCGCAACTTTCGAAAAAGCTCCAAAGCGCTTTTC